TGAATGTTGACGTATTAAAATTATCTGCCCAATTGTACAGAAATTTTTAAAACCTGTTTCAAATTTTAGGCTAAACAGGTTCCTGTATAGTGGGGACCTAACTGGCCAATTTTAGCCTAACCTGTTCTTAAAAACCAAATCTGGTAAATCCAAATTTTGGAGCTTCTATGTAGGCTTGGACACACCTCTTCCCTCTTTTCTAGTCATGCTGCTGGTTGTTGGCGTTTGTTACAAAATAAATTCTCACTTTATTGACACGGTTCAGGGGCACTCAACGACGGTTTCCTCCTAATTACATTGAAAACGCTTTTTTGGCTACCCAGAGTACTTTTAGATCTCTGGAAGTGCATTCCAAAAGCGACGCAATGAAATTGGCAATTTTGCTACTTCGAACTGATATTTTACAGAAAGCAAGGGTTGGGTGCCCCTGACGCCTCGATAAAGAGCATTAAAAACGTCATCTTCAGGTAGATTTTGTTCCCCCCAGCGGCCAGATTTTACCCTGGGTACCAGAGGTTTTTTCTCGCGTGCGGCGAGGAACTCCGTCGGCCGCAGGCCGACATCATGATGTCTTCGGCCGAAGGCAGACTTGACCGAAACCGGAAACGCGCATGAAAAGCATCTGGCACCCAGGGTGGCCCGATTTTATTTGCGCCCTAAACTAGTACTACACAGGCTACAATGATTTTCATTTAATTGTTTTGTGATGTTTGTTTTCTTGCAGAGGTGGAATAAAGACGTACACCTTGAAAATATATCTGGCTTGCTGTTTTTTAAATTTTAAGCTTTTTATAGTGTAGTATTTTGTATTATCATGTAGTATTCTCTTTTATATATATTTCGTAGTATCCTTATTCATTCAAAATGTGACATGATTTGTATCGCAAATTGAAATTTAGCAATGATCCAGGAGTAGGAAAGACGGGCTATATTCGCTGGCTATTTTCCAACGAACAATGAATGAATGAATGAATTATTTCATATACTTCACATCAAAGTAGAAATAGTTCTGGAAAGCATTGTAAGGAAAAAGCTCAGACTCAGAATTAGTAAATTTTTCCGCATCTCCTGATCCACGGTTCTGGTCTCACTTTCTTAGACGAGGGAGAGCCGGAATACTATTTGAAAAAATGATGACTCCATATTGTAACTATAATTACGCAATTTTGCCAACGTTTTCTTTTTCGTTTAATTTGTTCGTTTTGTTTTTTACTTATTCCATTTTTAGTTTTAACGGGACTGTTTTAGGTATTTTGAACTGTACCTATTTTGTAGAATTTTATATTAAATCACGGGGCAAAGCAATGGAAAATTGTCTATGGGTTGATTTCTTTTATTGTATTGTAAGCAACTAAGATAACTTAAGGTTGGTTTTCACTACAGTGGAACCCCGCCTTACGACCACTCCGTTAATACGACCAGTCAAAATGCTTGGTGGGGCTGCTGAATGAAAACAGACACAATCTGACAAACAATAACCCGTGACTATATTTTATTGAATGTTTTTAGGCAAAGGTGTTAGTGGTTAGCATGACATACGGTAAATTGCTGTGTGCTGTAAAAAGGATGCATTAAGATCTGAAAGACTTCACTTTGTGTAGTTCGGAGGCAAGTGAAGTCGCAAGTCGAGTTGTTGTTCGATTCAGTCGAGTTTATAACTCTCTGTGCGACTTTCACTGAGGGGCACCCAACTTCAATTTTTGGAAAATATCTGTTCGGAAGAGGACTTGAGATCTAGAATTTTCGGAACATTTGTTGTAAAATTTCTTGCTTGCCTGCCTCTCCTAGGATTTTCGAACATCTAAAAAATGGCATAATTACCCATTTTTAATGGATTTTTACAGTGAAAAGCTCACCTAGAATTTTCGGTAGCCTTTTTTCTGGCTGAAATTTTCGAAAAGGTAAGTTTTGATCCCTACAATTTTCGGATTACTAGACTTTCAGCTAGGAAATCCGAACAGATGAAAAATGTTTTGGGAATAAAAGTATGGCTATATCTACCGTTTAAAATACCAAAACACGTTAAACAACGCTATGTTTGAGTGGTTTTGAACTATATTCTCGTTGGGTGCCCCTGTTTCACTGGGTAGTAGCGCTCTCACTTGCCAACTCAGTCGCTCATTATTGACAACCAGTCCTCAGAAATACCCGATTGCCTAACAAACTATCACAATCTATCTTTATCTTGGCCTCTCGCGATATTTTTAGCCAACCTAAGCGCATTTTTAGCTGAAGACGAAGAAATGTCCACGCTTGTCAAAGCTGCTGCTGTTTCAGTACACGACAGGGCACATGAACATCTGTTGACGCATTCTGAGTGTCTTCTATCAGTTTTTTTTTTTAATTTTTTCGCAGAACAACTAAATTAACATGGATATTTCAACTATGCGAATGAAAAATTTGGGGCTAGGTGCACTTTAAGGATACCTCTGGACATGGTCTCGAAGCACGTATGAAACAACTACAGTACGTGTCAGTAGGGGAAGAAGAGAAAAAATATTGGTGAGTGAAGTAAGTGCGATCTGGAACACCTGATCACGAATGCGTTTGAATTTGAATTCTTTGCCCTGAGTAGAAGGGAGGTGTAAATGATGATTCCTTTATAAAGCTTTATTACTTTTGCGCGAAATCAGCCTGCATCCTTTCGATTCTCAGGAAACTGTAAATGTACTTGATTAGCCTGAGTTACTGCGCGAAGACTTAACGCTTGCTACGCAGGCTGGTACTTGATGTGCTTTAGTCAAGAAGAGCGATGATGCAGTACCTGGCTTCCGGTCAGCCAGAAACATGAGCGGGACGTTTTTCGTTGTTCCACTCGCTTCGTCAGGTTGCGCCCTAAGCTACACTACCACGTACACCATCAAAATATAATTATACACATCATCCCCCCCCCCCCCCCCTTGGTACAAGAGAGATGGGAGGGGATGGAAAGGCAGCTAATCTAAAACCATTAAAAGTAGACGGCTTCAAAGTTTGACTTCTTGTCCCTCGTTTAACGGTACGTCTTTAAGTTCCACATCTTTCTCATCCACCTCTTTCGTTTCTTCCGTCGCTTTGTCTTCTGTTGTGCTGTTTTCTGTCATTTTTCGGAATGTCGTCGGGTCCTTTAAAAACCTACCACATTGAAGAGAAAGTTAGACGTCCACATCTGGATCATGTTTTAGAAATAGCTTGTTCAGCCAGGCAGTTTGTTCACTGATTCCGCTTGAGAGCGATGGATTTTCTCTTTTTTCAAAATTTCTGATTTAACAGGAGAATCGTTCAAATGCTGCCGGAGCGATCGATAGTACAAGGCTGGGAAAGTATTGGCCGGATAGAAAACCTACCATGTCATGACCCTATAAATACATAGCTACCAGGGGTGGGAATGATTTTAAAGCCATATTTAAAGGCTGGAGAATAAAGTGACCTCATATCCACTCGTCTATCTCATCCCATGTAAATTTAAGCATAAAGGAACTGGGGTAGGGGTGTGAAAGTTCTTCCCATGATGCCTAGCAGGTAGCTTATTTAGTCTCACATGGATCTCGACCGCTTGTGGAAAGGGATGGCTCTGTGGCCCGGAAAGGAAAGGGGGTTGGAATAACCAGCAAGGTACCGCGTTTCTTGCCACCAACTACTGTACACTCTGGCTCTACTAATAAAAGCCAAGCAGCTGCGCACGTTTATAAGGTACTTACTTGGTCATAATCAGGGGAATGATGATAAGTAGAGCGGCTACAAGAAACGGCAATCCAGGAAAACCACGTTCCGCTGATCTGATGTACATTGGATTGAAGATAAAAGCACCCAGAAAATTACAGAAGGTGTCTACAGTTGATACCGATGAGAACATGGCCCCTACAAAGACAAATACATCGTAACGCTAAGCTTGGAATAAATTACAGAAATATCAGCCAGCTTTGCCTTAGCTTGGGAGATACCTTTACACTGCGAACGCTAATGGGTTTTTCTGTACTCGCGTCTCTCCAATTGGAAGCCTTCGCGTTTTCGCTACTAGCATTATAATTAACTACCGTGTGTAAAGGAAACGAAGGCTTTAGAGGAGAAATCGAACGTGGAAACAGTGTCGTTTTGCTCGTGACGCCCGATGAACGCCAGGATGAGATATCAAAGGGAAAAAATCAGTCTGCCCTTGATTCAAGGCTGACAGATCGGAGCCTTGCCAGATATCTTTCTTGTGCCTACATAGGCGACTCTATATACGTCGATGGAGGCTAGGCGTCTGCTCACGCAAGGTTAGGCCGGAAGGGTTTCAGCGCCATTGCGATCAGGAGGAGAACGGGCGCCCACGGGGTGGGAGAGTACTCCGGATTTCAAGTGACGGGGATGATCGAAGGATTTTTTGGGGTTTGAAATTTTCGATTTGGCCATCATGCACGCAGGTAAAAATGAGTTAAAATCATATTAAGAAAAGAAAAAAAAAGTAAGAAACATGACCTGAATGTGAAGGATAGCAGAATGAAAGCAATGGCGAACTCCACCTAGTTCCAGTTGGAGAGAAAAAAGGAAAAGTGAAGCCCTTTCTTTCTTTCTCTTTTCTTTCTTTTCTTTTTTTAGCAAAAAGTAACCTCTTACCACGTTCATCTGTATCCACCATTTGTGACATCATTCCTTTGTACAGCGGTACCACTGTTCCACCAAATATTCCAATAATGGGCACTATATATGTGAAACAATGGCAGCGATAAGAAACAACAGAGGAAGCCAATCCTAATGCTAACGCATTGCCTCGGGAATATAAGTGGGCTATACGAATCACCTTATGAAATCTGTGAAAGCAGGAGGCGGTAATCATCTAACGCAAGACTAGAAAGGGGCACGTTTAGCGCGTACTTTACTAACAGTGGCTAAAGAAATTCCTCTTTCCTTCCCCTCAAAAAACCCGTTGAAATAAAAAAGAAAAAAAATGACAACGAAAAAATCCTCGAGGATATCCCCTACATCTGCAAAGTTTTCCTATCCACTGTTTTCAAATGCTAAGGTCATCGGTTGGTTGACTGTGAACTACTCGGTGACTAAAAAGACCGCTTATTTATATTTCAAACCAAGGGGAGAATAACTTGGTTGAATATTCCATACCTAAAAACACCATCCAGGTACGATCGCTAAAAGCAAAGAACGCGAGTGAGGCGCACTGAGTTACCATGCCAACCCTGGTGACATTGATGTCGTTCATAAATCGCTTCAGAAGACCGATACCCACAATCCCACCAAAGCCTTGCATGAAGAAACGGAATGCCATGAATGCGCCAAGAGTAGTCGGACCCCAGCATAGAGGGGAACGAAGGACAAATAACGCTACCACTCCACTGATCCCCATAACGCCTAAACTGATTATTCCATCGGAGATCAGTAGCATGACGAGGTTTTTCCTTCCACCATTTCTTGGTCTCTTGTAAACATTCCAGATCGCTTTGAAACTGTCAAAACTGACAAGTCGCATCTTCTTTTTCTCTGTTGTGTGCGTCGATTCCGGAACAAGGAAAATGACGTACAGTACAGCTGCCATGTGACAGGCAAATATGAACCAGTAGGGTGGAATGAAACCGAGGTGCCTCAACCACAAACCGCTGGTCAGTTGGCTCACAACGCCACCAATGAACACAGCGAACTGGACAATTGCTGAAAAACAGTCGTTAACAAGGGTTCTGTAAGATAACAAGGTGCCAGTCCTAGCACTCGTGAACCTTCAACACTGAAGGTGTTGAAGGTATGTGCTGAAAAAGACGAGTTCAATTATTCTGCCCAGCCCTGCTAATAGTCCTCAGTGCATGGCTACTGTTTTTAGGTTAGAAATCCTACTGGTTACGGGAAATGTTAAACGTTGTCTTCAACAAAGAAAAAAATACAGAAAAGTGAAAGTATCTCGTAGTATATAAGTGGCAAAACCTCCACTTTGATTTGCATTCTCTTTAGGCTTAGATTCACGTATATTTTTAGTCTAAAAAACTCATCTTACCTTTTCAAGTAACCGGCCGAAATCGATAGCTAAATATCCACCACACGATTTTCCGGGCTCGAAGCCACCCATTACCGACTCCATAAGCCCTCGGGCGTTTGAAGTCGAAGGGCGGCCCACAGGCTTGACAGATAAGAGGCTTAACTGAACGCATGTTTTAAAAGACTATGAAGCTGTGCACCACCTTTAATTGAATCAAACTATGTTTCTGATGCTAACACGCACGACATCTGACACTAGTGATGGGTGGGCTTCTTATTAGTTACAGTTCGCCTTATTGGTTGGAGGTCGTTGGAGACATAATGGATAGCGCTTCGTACTTCCCTTTTCAGAGATTACTTTTTCAATAGAATTACGATAATATGGAATGGTATTCCTGAAAATATCAAAGTAGCTACTACACTATGCTCTTTCAAACGCCAACTCAAATATTATTAATATTTAATTCTAGTTTTTTGGGGTAAGGGGTTGGTTTTTCTACATTTTATGGGGTTGGATTAGGAGGGTGAACCAAGTAGGGGACTACGTGTCCTATTGTTCTCTCCCCTGTAAATTGTACGAATCTATAAATAAATAAATAATAAATAAATATATATATACTAACCAATACGGATAGGAAGCCCTTTCTCCGAGGTTACATCTGAGACGTAAGCAAACGCAGCCATGGTCATAATAGTCACGAAACCGGAGAAGCCATTGATTGCCTCGCCAACAAACAGCACATATACAGGCCACTCAAAGTACATGATGAGTAGGATCAGAATGGACTCTACGGCGCTTCCTATTGGGGGAGCCAGCAATGCAGGACGTCTTCCACCGGTGTCCGTCCAAGGACCAAGAATAAGGACCACGACAATAGATGGAATGGACAGAAACAGGACGTTTCCCATGTCGATTTGCGCAGCCAGATCTTGTACCTGTGAAACATCGAGGTAATTCACAAAGTAATTATATATCCAATGGAAAACTTAACTGCCTAGATCTTCGTGATGAGGATGAAATGTTCTACCTCATTCAAGAACTGCGTGCAGATATTTAAGCTGAGATCTTAAAGAAAGAACCCGAAATTTACACCGCGGTAAAAGAGACGAGACGGAAAGGCTTATTTATTGCAACCAACAGTCAACCCTTCAGAGAAAGGAAGAAGATGTCTCACGTATTGTTCAGGTCCCGGTTGTTCAAACATTGGATAGCGCTTCCCGTCGGATAAATCACTATCCAGAAGATAAGTATTAAGGAAACTAAAAATGTTATTCACTGTAGAGATCTATCCACTGGATAGTGTTATCCACCCGTCGAACAACAGGGGCCATGGCGTGCGCTTGCCTTTGACATGAAACTAGAGAGTTAAAGGATATATCACATTGCCGAAGGGATTCTGAGGTGATATCCAACTCCAGTGGTCAGATGCAGCGAACGAGTAATCAGTATTTCCTCAACAAGAGAAGATTCTTCGTGTTTCATTTTTGATCCACGGAAACCCAGGGGCTTCTAGTTGGGACGACGGGATTTTCATGAGCTGACTCAAGGATGAGATAACATTTTTATCAATAGAAAAAAAAAATATGCAAGAAAATTTCTTCAGAGCATTCAAAACTCGAGGGTGGTCGAAAGAACGGCTATTCGCCCACTCAGTCTGGGCTTTGGTCAGGGGCACCCAACGACTGTTTTCTGTAAATTTCTGTTCGGAGAAGCAAAAATTGCCTACAATTTTCTATTACATGAGGAAGGCTGAAAATTTCTAGATGGCCGTTCCATTCATGTACAGTTTTCGTAGCTTATCTAATAAATTCCCTACGATTTTCTAAAGTTAAGTTTTTCGCATTTCAGTCCCCAAGTTAGACTATTTTTCGTAGAAAAAGGAAATCTAAAATTTTCGGATTCGAAAATGCGATGGAGAGAGGAATCAGAAAAATTCTCAATTTCGTAAAACCTAAAATTGCATCTAAAATTTTCGGGGAAATAATACTGAGGCCCTAAGTAATTTCGAAAATATTCAAGTTGCCCTAGGACGACCGAACAGATACAACTTTTATAGCGCCGCTTAGAATGCATTTCTAGAGATCTGAAAGTATTCTGAATAAGCGAAAAAGTGTTTCAATGCATTTAGGAGGAAACCGTCGTTGGGTGCCCCTGTTTGGTAAAACTGTACCTCTTTTTCTAGCTCCTTTAAGGATGAGTTAGCCCCTGCGTCGTCGTTGCAGCCTTTCTCAGATGTTTCAGAAACATTATATGGGAAGCCTTTGAATTTGCTGACTCTGAAATACACGTACTGCGTGAGGACTGGAAGGCTCATAAATATGCCAAATGTGTAAAACAGCACCACTGGCTCCACTGTCAGATATCGCCGCCATCTTGGCAAATTCTGCGGTGGCATAACGGTCTTTTATGTCGTCCTTAAAAATAACAAGAAAAATTTCGATATTTGGAACTTAAGTCAAAGGCTCGAACGTAAAAGCGTCTTACAGTGGAACCTCGATATATAACGAACCCCCCGATTTTCCTTACCCCAGTAACAGAAAAATATATGAAAAAGAACCTCGATGTAACGAAACCTATATCCAACACATTTTGGCACTCCCTTGGCTCGTCGTTTTATACACAAGAGAGAATGATCTAAAAATAAAATAATGACCGGAAATTACATATAATATGACGTGGTATGATGTAGCTACTTTAAAAACACAAGATAACAAAAAATTAAAAGATATCCTATATGTAGTTACAGTTCATCACGTTTATTAATACCCACAGGCTCAATTGTCTTAGCTTTGTGGATGGGGTGGGCTTCGCCTGCTTTCATGAAAGAATCACGCCCATTTTTAAGTTTTTCAGTAGGAATCAAAAGCATATGATTGTCGGAATGATTACTGGTTAGAAAGTGTTCTGAAACTGCAGTATGGATGTAATTACCAGTAGGGTTGAGTATAGGTCGTCTGTGTTCATTAAAACGGTATTTGAGGCGACGTTTAGTTTCTCCAATATATTGTAGATTACACAGGCGACATTCTCTCTTGTTTTACATCGATGTTCCACTGTACCAGAGTCTGTCTTCTTCCCTGGCCTAGATACAAAAATCGGTATTCTTTTAGGATTTTTAGAGTCAAATGAGATGTTTAGAAAATTTCAGGATTTTTAGACGATAATGTTTATAAAAATACAGTGGAACCCCGCCTTACGACCACCCCGTTATTGCGACCACTTTTTTGTGGCCCGAACAAAAGCCCACTCGTTTTCTTATCTGAAAATCCCGTTAATCCGACTACCCCGTTATTACGACCAACGACCACCTTTGGGAGTCCCGAGTCGTTATTTTTTATTTTCTTTATAAAATTACCCCGTTAATACGACCGGTCAAAATGCTTGGTGGGGCTGCTGAATGAAAACAGACACAATCTGACAAACAATAACCCATTACTAATATTTTATCGAATGTGTTTGGGCAAAGGTGTTAGTGATTAGCATGACATCCGCTAAATTGCTGTGTGCAGTAAAAAGGATGCATGAATCAGAATAATACAAAAGATCTGAAAGACTTCACTTTGCAGCATTTCGAAGCTCTCAAAGTTATTTTGCCTTCTTGTTTCTGCTGCCTTCCACTGTGGCTTTTCTCTTCAAGTACATTTCCTTCTCTTTTCTCCCAGAACTTTGAACTTTGTAATAATTGTGAAAATGTTGTAAGCTACAATATAGAAAACGGCTCTTCGAGACAAATATAAATCAACCTTTTTACAGTTAATTAACAACCTGACAACCGCAATTCAATACAACTGAACAATGTAACAGTAAACGAAACCGAGTGATGAGAAAAAACACTGACTTCTTTCAGTTGCTTGTTATGAAAGGAAAGGGCTTGTGATGTAGTAGAATGTAGTTTAAAAGCATTTTGCACCATAATTTGACCCTACCCCGTTAATACGACCACCCCGTTAATACGACCAAATTTCCATGGCCCGAAGGTGGTCGTATTAACGGTACTGGTGTCACCTTTTTCGGCCTCGGTCAGGCAGCATGACGTGCTTGAACATGGCCGTCATCAATACACTTTTCATTCTACAGGTGAGACCCACCACATCAAATCTCATATAATGTTAATGTTATCTATTTGATTCAATGTCGCCTGTGTAATCTACAATATATTGGAGAAACTAAACGTCGCCTCAAAGACCGTTTTAATGAACACAGACGACCTATACTCAACCCTACTGGTAATTACTACATCCATGCTACAGTTTCAGAACACTTTCTGCACTTTCCGACAATCATATGCCTTTGATTCCTACTGAAAAACTTTAAAATGGGCGTGATTCTTTCAGGAAAGCAGGCGAAGCCTCCTTATCCACAAAGCTAAGACAATTGAGCCTCTGGGTATTAATAAACGTGATGAACTGTAACTATATATAGTATATCTCTTATTTTTTGGTTATCTTGTGTTTTTAAAATAGCCACATCATACCACGTCATATTATATGTAATTTCCGGTCATTATTTTACTTCATATATTTTTCTGTAAATTCGTGATATCTCAATAAACCTGATGAAGACTGGTATTGGCCGGTCGAAATATCGCAACTAAACTCTATTTCATGCTGTTTGATCAGTCCCTGCAAAAGTCTTCTTGACTGTAACGATGTCAGACTCTACTAAGTGCCCATTGTCGTTATCGTTTGTTTGAAAGATAAATATGTACAGGGTAAACGAGACAATCCACTTACATTGTCCAGTAAATAAATTATCTTTTTGAATCAGTTTGAGATTATTTGCGTGCAATTTGACCACAGGATCTGTGGTCAAATTGCAGAGGTCACAAGATTCCCCCATTCCAGGCAAATTATGTGATTATTTCGAAAAAAAAAATTGGGATAAATCGGGATTTTTAGAATAAATTTCGAGATTTTTTGGGGGGCGTTTTAGCCATTTTTTGGAGAATTCCCGGATCGATTTTTAGGCCATTTTTCGGGATTTTTGTATCCAGGCCTACTTCTTCCCCTCCCCTCCACGAATGGAAGAGATCCTGGGAACAAGGTTGATTAGAGGGCCTGATGGATGAGTATTTCAAGACTGGTTTGCTAGACACAAAAATTGTAACATAAACTTTCTTCATAATAAGATTAGTACTAATTTATTCCTGCACTCATTATAGTTACAATTAAGGTGTAGCGAGTGACACCCCATGGACAAAGAACAACATGTTTCTTGAAGAATACCGAACTCAGATCTTTTCGGGAGGGAAGTGGGTCGTGTTTACTCTTACTGCGCAGTAGGCCCTTTGATTTGCAGCTGGTCAATCACGTGGTACAAAAACTTCATGTTGGGACAAACATAGCCTCCCCGCAGACGTCCTTTGGGGTTCGTTTGTCCGTGGGGGAGAAATGAATGCGTGACAAACGAACCCCAAAGGACGTCTGCGGGGAGGCTAGGACAAACAAGGACTGTTCTGAGTTCCCAGCACAAGGCCTACAGAAACCCTTTTGTTCTTGTCAACCATAGCCGTCGTGACGTCAGCTGCAAACCAGAAATAAGACTGACACATGCTCACCTGCGTCCCCGATAATATGGAGTTCTCTAATTAGTTATCGAGTGATAAGTCCAGCTGCAACGCGGGCTAACGCATGCGAGAATAGACACAGTTCACGCACAAAGGGCACGGACCTTTCCTCTCTTGATTGTAGCCAGTGTTGTATATTTCCTAGCCCGCGAATACAGCCGTCTATCCCCATTCCTCACTGCCATGGAAGCCGTGTCCCTAGCGGCGAGGAGCGAGTAGAAACGATTGTATTTGCAGGCTTTATATTTCCACGTCGCAGACATTTGTTTGAAAGTCACGGCACTAAAACTGGTCAAATGACGTCATAATAGACCTTACGCATAAGTGATCATGTGGAAATGTGTAAACAAAGCAACACTGCTTTACATGTAATTGCACAAAATGTCTAAATGAGATTTAGAACTCTATTTTGTCTTTATTTAATCCTGGCCATGGGCCAGCAAAAGATCCCATATGGAAAAGTGGATTATATCCCCTTTCAAACGCGCTTTTATTTAGAAGAATTTTCTATTGCTTAAATCTATTGATCTAGACGATCGCGTAAAGTATCGTGTGAAAAAGCATCCGTACACGATGTGCCTACAATCAGAAGTTATGGCATTGCGTCTCAGGGACTTAACCGTTTAAAACGTTAAGTTTGTATCAGATATTGGTCACTTAACCAGCTTTTCCTTACCATCCCGATGTCTTATGTTCCCCTTTGCGAAGTTATTCAGCTTTTAACAGCAAACAGTTACAGTAAACAGAAGTTAAGGAACACGCAAAGGCGGGCATGTTCTCTTTAATTTCCCTTCAATCCCAGAAGGACCCCGACCGAAAGTCCCGGTAACTTTTTTGGCCCGAAATTAAATATTCAAATCGAAATACAAAGAATAAGAGCGCGAGTCCTGACTGGCAAATTACTCCATTTTGTTTAATTAACTGTTAGTTTTTTCTAGTTAGATGCAAAACTATTGTAACCTCTATCTTGCATGTAAACAATATCAGCTTTACGGGCCGGTTAATTATCGGGACTTTCGAGAAACGGGCCCCAGGCGCGGATCCAGTGTAATGACTCCTCGGGGATGTCACCTTCATCGCGGTGACGATTTGAAATAATAAAAAAATTGCCTCAAGGCCGGCTCACCAGATGTAAAGAGGGTTTTGCCTTGCAAGTCATGATAAACCTACATCGAAATCAGATACTTTGATTCCCATATTGGCTCCATAATCAACAGAAACTAAGTAGATCAACACTGTCTACAAGGTCACAAGCACTCACCCGAAATCTGAATGATCTTCTACTTTAAAATGCGGCTTGAGGTCTCTGTTCAAAATACGTATAATTTACACCAGAAACGAACCGTCGGTACTTTCTTACAATCTTCCTTTTCGTTGAGACGAATTACTCAGCAATTTTGTTTAATATTTGCTTAACTTCAGGCAGACCTCTGATCTCTCAGCAGACCACTGTTAAGATTTGCATTTTGTCACGCAGATTTGCATTTTGTCACGCAAGTCTTTTAGGACCCCAAGAACCGTGAGAAGCATCGTGGGAAGGAGAAGAGGCCGAAGAGCAGAGATCTCCAAGATTTCTTACCATTAGTGCGGAAATTTCGGTGAAAATTTCCCACATTTAAAAAATGGGCATCAATAAACGTGATGAACTGTAACTGTATATAGTATATCTTTTATTTTTTGTTATCTTGTCTTTTTAAGTAGCCACACCATACCACGTCATATTATGTAATTTCCGGTCATTATTTTACTTCATATAGTCGACTCCCGATAACTCGAACCCTCGCTAACTCGAACCAAAATCGATTTCCCCTGTATTTGCGTCATACATTCACTGTAATTTTACCCTCCGTAACTCGACCCTCGATAACTCGAACTCCCGCTAACTCGAACCAATTTTCGTTTCCCTTCAGGTCATTTTCTATATAATTTTACCCTCGACAACTCGAACCATGTTTTGAGCCCTTAAAAAGTGTAATCACAATTCTTGTGAAATTTGACATTTATTTTCTCTGACTTCCATGAGAAATTTTCTTTGGTGTTACTACAGATGATTTATTACATCCGCTTAAGCCCTTGAAAAATGTAAAAAAGATCGCAATATTTTTTAAATTATTCTGGTACAAGGTTTTTGTCCGCTGAAAATTAAAATTACGCAATTTCCTAGTGGATTTCGTCTTAAAAAGTTGACAACTGGGTCTTTAGTCTTGTTCTGCCCAGCGGCCAGCCCGGTCTTTGTTATCGTAGTTTTTATATCTATAACCATAGTTATATCGAACAAATTTAACAACAATTCTCCGTCCTCCGTTTTTATATGGCTGCCCCTAAATTATGGAACGATCTTCCCCTTTTTATTAGAAATATATCTTCAGTTAATGCTTTCAAGAAGGCTCTTAAAACTCATTTATTTCAGAAGGCGTTTCCCAGCTAATTTATTGTTTTTATTCTCTTTATTAAGAAGGATTTGTATATAGGATTTCAAAGATTAATTTTTATTTTTAAATTCTTATTTTTACTAATTTTCAGGAACGATCTGTAAATAAGACTTTTGGAATATGTACTAGGATTTTAGGATTTTGTTGACTCAATGTTATGCGCAGATGAAAATTTCTTTCCCTGGATTGATATTTGCGCAATACAAATCAATAAATATTATTATTATATTATATTATTACATCATATTATATTGTCCTCTTATCACGTTTGTACAAGATGTTGTTTAAGTGTTTTTCTACGTAAGACCTTTCATTATAGTTCTATTTAAGATTATTCGTGGACTCATTTGCAGATCTCAACTGTCAAAGGATATTGTAGACAGACAGGTCAATTCGTTTCACTGATTGTAAGGTTGACGATAATGACAATCATGAAAACATTTCCATCTTCGCTTATCGCCTTTCCCTCAAATTTGTGGAATTGTCACGCTTTGGGGTGTTCTTCGGACTCTTCTTAACTTATGAGCAAGGTCTGAACCGAGCTAGGGTGGTTTCCAAGAACTTCTTGAACTTGGCTTCATTGCGTTCGTAGGAGAGAGTGGGCTTGACTCGTCAACAGCCCTGACCTGGACTCATATCAAAAGGCCCTTGGGTCTTTTGTTTTACTTGCTACGGTACGCGATGTTATATTACATGGTCAGAACAATACTGAATCTTTTGTGTATAACCCAAAGAGATCTCAATTTTAAAATTTTACGGAACATTGGCCTTATACAGAGGTAACTCTCTCTTCACGGACTGAGCGGGCAGCTCTACTTAAGGCCACCTTGACAAAACCTGAAGAATTTTGGAAAGCAGCGACCAGCGACCAGCGACCACCTCCATCTACGAACACGTTTTCTGCTTTCACAGGGCGTTCGCTTAAGGGAGCTTCAATTGTACTAGCTATAGGCAATGTCTCTGCCATTATGAATCATCTGCTAATTATGACTGATCATAGTTATATCAGTTTCAAGTCAAGTTTGCATATCCGCAACATTTAATGTCCTTCAAAGATATTTAGTCGGTTCCTGTTCATTGTTAGCAAGCAGGAACGATCGGTGAATCTTCAGATACGTCACCAGACGAAGATGGGGAGCAGGGTTCTTTTTCTTCTTCATTGTCTGTTATCCTTTCATATTCACTTGCTTTGTTGACCATCAACCTCCTCTTTTTGAACATGGAGTGGTCTTTTAGACAGCTACAAGGAACAACATTAGTCACGAGTTATAACTAATGAGTAGTGCATTATGCAATCCGATCAAACCTGCATAAAACTTAACCTATTTACACAATGCCTACTATGGTTATAGAACTTGAAGTATAAAATAATGAGCTATCACAGAGCTTTCATTAAAACTCTGAGACGACTAGAACTCAACCTACAGTTTACACTAGAGCTACGATCTTCAAAAGTCAAAAAAGGTAGAAAAATTGATAGTATATAAGGAAAATAGACAGTATCAATGGCTACCATAGTAGTATATTTAACAATTATTCCAAGGGTGCGCGTTGGTTATGAGATGGCAGATAGACAAAGAGGCGCGTATGGCCGAGTTGGCTATAATCATCTCATATCCAACAAGCGCGAATGGAATAATTGTTTTATTAAAAACGCCCACAAGATATCGACAATTCTTCCCGACTTTATTTGCCAAAAAAAAAAAAAAACGATTTTCAGCTTGTTTTTAATTATGAGCAGACGCGTACAGTTACCATACTTGGAGAGCATAATAGTTCATATCAAGAGAGGATAAAGGGGACAGAGAAGGCATCCCTCATACACACCCTATTCCATAGGTAATTCGTCTCGAGTTATTTTTAGAATCGGGATAAAGTCACCTCGCGCGCTGCGTGGATGTTCCGTGGAGGTTTCACGTGACTAAATGCCGTGCAAAACATGTCGGGCGAAAGGCAATGAAAGCGTAAAGAGATCGAGAGCATTTCTGAATATTGAAGCGAAATGAGTCGGCGCTCACCTGGGAAAAGGGAATCGCTGGACTCTTTGACAACCCGTGAAATCAGTTTAACTCGAAGTTGTCGTAACCTCAGTGCTTTAATAAAATGAGAAATTTCGCCGGTCTATTGAAACCGGTCGTTTGTACAATAAAGCAAGTAGGACGCCAAGTGTTATTTTTGTTGAATAATAAAAGACTAATAAAAGAATAAATATCAAACCAGAAATTGCTCTCTTTAAACTATAAATTATAAATGATCCTGAGAGAATATTCCGTGTGTTAAGGACTTCCCTGCTGTACTGTTAGCTCTATACAAGAGAGGAAGGGCGATTCTTTTTTAATTTCCATTTCGCTGACACCGCTTTAGTCGTTCTTTTCAGTCGTTTTCGTGGACAAAACGAATAGCAATATCGCTCTCCGAGTCTTCCGCCATTTTTTCTGCTTCAATTCGTGAAAGACGCGTGGCTCTGAGCGTGGGTCATCCACGCGGAACACATTCGCGCTATGTGATTGGCTGTTGTCTAATCCCCCTTGGGATCTGTGTGTCTTAAAAATAACTAGGCCTTTCCCGATTGCGCTCGTAAAATCCTGAAAAAGTGCTGGCATAAATGGCTAAAAAGTGCTCCAAAAGTGCTCAAAATCTCAAAATAGTGCTCAAAAAGTGCTAAAAGTTGTGAACAGTTACCTCTAAGCTTTTCGCAAACATGTCAATTTTTACTGAAGTAATTAACAATCTATTTTGCGTAGTGTTATTGGACAGGTTGTTACGAAAGGTTGATAGAATATACAACAATAATATTTTTAAAAAACTAAAGCCGGTTACGAATTGTAAATTAATTTAGCAGTACTAGCATCAGATGATTTAGAAATTTGAGATGACACACGCATGATAAATCAGCCAATCAGAAACTTCTGTTCTCACACTCAGTGAGGATAAGTCCACGTGCCTGACCATGACAACGATCTTTTATTCTTGACAACATCATTAGTTATTCAAATTTATGACTTGGAACACGATTCTCGTTGCAAGCGACACACAGTTTTTGCTTGAAAATGTTTTAGAAGACATATGTTGCTCGAAATTTGCTCGAAATGTGAAATATTGCTCAAATGTTGCCCAAAGTGCGAAAAAGTGCGTAAGGGTGCTCAAAATGCAAAATAGTGCTCCAAACTCAAAAAAGTGCTCAAAAGGTGCTCAGCGCAATCGGGAAAGGCCTAAAAATAACTCGAGACGAATTACCTATGGAATAGGGTGTGTATGGGGGATGGCTTCTCTGTCCCCTTTATCCTCTCTTGCTCATATACCATGATGGCTAAGCCAATCATATCTCTAGAATTGCATTATCCAATGACTCAGTTTTTAATAAAAAGAAAATAGACAGTTATAAATTGCTACCAACCATTCCGAAATCTGCGGCATTTCACTTCAAAATGAACCATCTAAAATAGTAAAAATCAGAATGTGGTGCTTTGTTTAAGTTTGTCGCTTCCACCTCAAATTTTACATGGTGATCCGGCGTACACCAGAAAGTGTGTTTGCCGTGTAAAATTGTTGTTCATCTTATTAAACCTATTGTTTTTTTTTTCGTGGGTTGCTAAAGCTTCCTAATGTAACTTTTGTAGAAAAGGAAAAAGATGCTAGATATTATGATTCAGCCAGTAAACTTACAAGGTAAAAGCGAAAGGCAATAGCAGAAAAATTCCTGCTAAAAATAAAACGAATCCAGGAGCACTGAACTTCAATGATTTTGGATACAATGAGTTCAACATGGCGGTTCCAAGAAATGTACAAAGCATCTCAACTGACGAAACAGCGGAGAACAGCGAGCCTGAAAATGATAAGAAATCACATATCTAACACAAATATAAAAGAGTTTTGCACAACTTGCAACCAGGATAAAATACCACAAGCGGTTAGAATGTTTTTCCTCCTCAATATTTGATTACAGTAGCACACCTTTTCCCTGACAATTGGTTTGCCTTAGTAGTAAACAGCAAAATATTGCAAGCTTTGCCCACTTTTTTTTCATTTAGACTACCAAGAGAAACAAATTGTGACGGAAAACTTGCTAAGTGCAACTACGACTTTTGGGCCTCAGAGAGGATCTCTCTTTGCCACCTTCCCACCACGCACCACGCGCTACTTTATAATCATCAGAGAGACGCCTAGGAACGAGTTATTGACAAAGAAACCAGCAATCACGCTCTATCAGCAAAGTAACCAATCTGCTGGAGGTAACAATTTGTATTTTCCAGTTTTTGACGTCCATTACGTCATTTCCATGGTCTCTTATCGACCAAAGTACTCGACAAACCAGCGCGCGAGAAATCGCTCAGGTATTGTAAAGATTGTAAACTTAATCAGTCGATTACAATGTGGAGGTAAAGGGTATAACTGGTATAAGATGAGGCAAGGAGAATTTTGATCCATTTTATCTTCCGTTGCTTAGAGTAAGTTTACCTTGATCATCCGAGCTGACAATCTTTGACATCATTGCTCTCAGTACCGGGGACCCTGCACCGCCAAATATACCAACGATGGGACCTGACAGAATAAAAAAAAATGTACTCAATCCCATGCACTAACGTTTTACCGCAAATCCTCTATTACGAGGGGAATAAGCACGTTTGAAGAGGGGGGTTATTTGATGAGAAGGGGATTTATCTCATTTTTTGCGAAACGGCCCGCTATATTGCTTATTTTTTTGTTTGTCATGCAATAGCCTGCGAGCAGTCTCTCTTTTGCTTGGTAATCTGTGAGCGAGTGAGAGCTACTGCTATATGGGTATGTAAATATGCGAGCGGGGAAGTCACAAGTCACGGAAGGTCAGGCCCGTTTCAAACGTCGTCCTACTGCCGTGCCGAACTCAGTTGATCGAATTAAATTCGACTTTTGCACGGCAGTAGCGCGACGTTTGAAACCAAGTCGTGCTACTGCCGCGTAGCACGGTAAGCCTTGCCGTGCTACACGGCAGTAGCTCGACTTGGTTTCAAACGTCGTGCTACCGCCATGCCGAACTCAATTCGTAAAAAAAAATACATTAGAATATATTTAAAAGTTTGCTAAACCGTTTCTTTATTTTTGTGTTTTGTTTTTGGCAACAGCCGTTCCATTCGACTGTCATTGTGTGAATTAAATTTGACGTCTGAAACCAAGTCGTGCTGCAGTCGAGCTACAGTCGAGCCAGCTTAGCACGGCAGTAGCACGACGTTTGAAACAGGCCTTAAGCCCTCTGCCGATCACAAAATGATAAAACTGTGGCAGAATGACGACGGCTATCACGTTTTTCTGCCAAAATAACGTTGGTTCTACGCCCGAGCACTACTTAGTTTTGAGCGAGAAAATCTAGTCCTCGTAGTCGCCCTCGTCTTAGAATCTAGGTAAGCCCTTTTAACTCGTAAAGACACTTACTGAGAAATACCAAGAGGAGCGTTTCGGAAAATCCAAGCATCACCAAGAAACCTAAATACGACAACAAAGCGAGGCGTGCGACATTGATATCAGCGAGACACATTCCAAAGGCTTTGATAGCAGTAACTCCACCAACACCGTGAATGAATTGACGGAACGCTGAGAAATAGCCCACGTATTCGGGAGTGAAGCAGAGCGGCGAATGTAGTGTGTAAAGATTTATGACACTGCTGGTGCTCATGACAGCTATGCTCGTTATACCAACACTTGCTGTCAGGATAACTAGATTTCGTTTTCTAAAACCTGAGGCCTCGTGGTAAACTCTCCAAGAGGACTTAAAGTTGTCAAGGCTGAACAGTTTTCCTCTTTCTACGGTGGATTTGAGTCTTGATTCAGGTACGATAAATACTGCATACAGTAGAGAGGTCATGTTGCACGCAAAAATGAACCAGAAGGGAGGGGTGAATCCCAGTTTCTCAATCCACAAGCCGCTTGACAGCTGAGCGACCATGCCTCCAAGAAATATGATGAGTTCTAAAATACCTGCCATTCAACAAAAAAAGGGATCGTTAATAAAAAGAACATTGTGGTGCGGTGTGAAGAGAGAGCAAAGAACAAGTTTCTACAGTGGAAGCTCTCGTAGGGTGACACCCTCGGGACACAACCTTGAAAGTGTCCGCGTCTCCGCTTACGGGGAATGTAAAATTACGTGTTTGTATGGGAGTTGAAACGGGATTTTGTGGAGGCGGCCGTAAGTAAAGCTGTCCGCTTCCAAGAGTGTCCGTTAAGAGAGCTTCCCGACCGTAACAATCACAATCATTATTCTTTATTTCTGAAGAATGCTACAAGAGAATTTCTCCAATCTGTTAACTAAATATTCTTGGAGTAACTCTAGACAAGGACCTATCCTATAAAGAACACATATCAGATGAAATAAAGAAAGCCTACGCGAAGGCCTCTGCGCTGAGAAGAGTAAGGCGTTTTCTTCCTCATGATGCAATGATAAAACTTTATAACGCATTTATATTACCTCATCTAGAATACTGCAGTCCTTTATTTGTACGCATAGGTACAGGTCAACGCAGCTGTCTCGAAGATGGCAACTGTGATATTTTGAGAACATTATATCGGGCACAACAAGTCAATGTCGTACGACAAGCTGCTCACTACGGCTAGCATGACATCCTTATATTGTAGGCGCTTACACCAGGCGTTAATACTTCTTTTAAAATGCTTAGATGGCACGGGACCTACTTACATTGAAAGCGTTTTTAAATATAGGCATACACCGTATACCGCTAAGAGGCGAGGGCTTGAATTTGGAATTTAATCTTAAAGTTAACAACAACTCTTTCACTTATTCATTAACAAACTTATGGAACAGTTTGCCCTCACAAATGCGTCTTTCAAGTGATGCTAATGACTTCAAAAGTAAATTGCACGATTGCAGCTTTTTAGAACGCGTCTTACAGTGGATGATTGTAGCTTTTTAGAACGTGTATTATAGTTTTCCAGTCACGTTTTTAGTATAAGGCTTTTTAGTAGGTTTTAGCTTTTTATATTTTGTTTTTATTTATTACTAAGTTTTTGTATATTTATTGAGTTGTTTTTAAAATTGAATAATATTATAACACAGCTGTAATTATAATAGATTTTATTTATACACGTTCGTATTTTGAAAGAGTTTTCTAGGTCCTCGACGTAACGTGTCAAAATAAATGATTGATTGACTGATTGAATGCTTATGCAAAATTTGGGGTGACAAAAAAAGAGCATTATGGTATGTTATGGTATTTTCTGGCGTGGTCAATTTTTTTGTTCCTTGCTTTCTGTTGTCCTTTTTTTTCAGTTAGAGGCCTATGTCCACCCGAACGCGGAAATCACATATTTGTTTACCCAGCCGATTCGTGTGGACAGGACCTTGGGCCACTCTGGAGAGCGGTCTCAAAAAGATGGGGTTTAAGTGAGCGGACTCACTGGTTTTGTGTACAGGGGAGGCCAATTCGTGTAAAAAACTATATATGTGTATATGCGGTTTCAAAAAAATTTCGGATTCGTGTGGATGTGACACTGTGACACTGTCACAAGACACTGCTGACCAGATATAAGCAGAGGGAACTTTACTTACCCAGTCTCAAGGCAATTTGTGTTTGATTTGTTGTGTCTGCAATATATGACAAACAGGCCAGGATTATGGCTGTATAATATCCGCAAAGTCCATGTAGAAAGGCACCAACAAACAAACAGTAAATAGGCAAGTCAAAGATCATGACAATAAGTACGCCTGCGGCATCCAGAACACCGCCCAAGACAGGTAAAATGAGCGTCGGACGTCGACCAACCTTGTCTGACCAGCCTCCCATGAACAGTGTTATGATGATGGATGGAAGAGCAGAAAACATCACAATACCAAGTTGGACATAAGAGGCGTATGTCTGTACCTGTTGTAAATAGCAACAGGGTCCAGCTGTTCAACAATTGGATAGCGCCATTCACCTGATATCTCTCTATACAGTGGGTGAGGCGATTGATTTCCCTAATACTTATCCTTATAATTATTTATCCAGTGGTCCCAGTGGATAGTTCTATCCAATGTTTGAACAGCTGGGGCCAGATTATTTTATTGGCCACAGATTAAACCTCGATTCCAGGGTTCTCTACTACTTAACTTGTCGTTCTAGGGGATGGGTAGACGAGAAACCTGGGAAGACCATGATGGTTCCTACAGTTTACTACGTAGAGTTATTATTATCATCCTTAATTCATCCTATGAAAGTAATTTAACTTAATCTGCTGTTGCTACATCTGGTAAAAAATTTTAATACCCCTAAAGACAGAAGAAACGGAAAATAATTTATATGGTTCACTTATTTGGTCTGCTGAGAGTGGGCAAATCTAGCCTGTGTAGCTGGTAGGTTTTTTGTGTGATTTTTGTTTTTGACAGTCTGCATGCGAGGTTAAACAAGAAAACAACTGGGTGAGGGGGCAAGGGGGTGAGATAACCTCCCTTCACCCCCTTCCCCTATGGTTTTCTGGTTCGACGAACCAAAAGAAATCCCTTAAGCTGTTTGATTCCCCACCTACTTGTTGTATTTACCCGGCAACCTGAAATCTTAGTGACATCCCTTATCATTCAAAAAGCTATAAAATCCTTTCTTTTCAAGGTTCCACTGCATTGTTTGCCATCCAGCAAGGTATTTTTTGTACCATGTGACCATATATATATTCTGCAAAGGGTCCTCCATTGTGCTGCACTCATTATCAACCAAAATAATTCAAGGAAGTAAAAAAGGCAAGATATTTTAAACTAGGACAGTAACACCCCTCTCAATTAAAAACTCCCCACTTACTTAAGCTAATAACTTTACTTTCACTTGGGTCTAAAATTTCAGTAAATTTTACCGTGTTTAAACTAGAAATGCCGTATACAAGTCAAACGGTATAAATGTGTGTGAGCTGTTTTCTGGCCCAAAACCAGTACTACTATTACCCTACCTGGGACATTATGTTGTGTTAGTATTATGAGGTATCATAAAATTAATGTGCTTTTTGCTCTCAAAGAAATTTGTTGTTAGATATATTAATCTGTAAGATTTGTTCGCGATGGAGCATTAAAGTTATTGTTACTGCTATCAAGAAGACAAGTTGTTTTGGAGTTGTAACAGAATAGTGCACTATATCTTAGGATTTTAAGTTAGCAGCCACGTTCTACAATAAAACCTTACAGTCATACCTCTCTTTCAAGCTTCTTCATTGTATCATTCGATTTGGAACCACAGCCTGTGTCACCATCATCTTGTTGAAAGTGATATGGAAACCCTTTAGCCTCACTCAGTCTTTTGTAGACATACTGCTGAGCTATCGGAATGTTCATAAAGAACCCAAATGCATAAAAAAACAAGACTGGTTCCACTGTAAGCATCATGCTCCATGACAACCTTCTTGTTGTTGACATGACAATACAATTGAGATTAACCTAAGACGATGAAAACATAATTAATGCAGATAACCAGACTAATCGTGAAATAGAATTAAAAAAATTAATACCTGACTGTCGAACCACTGAATGCAGAGAATTGCTCTCATAACAGAATGGCTGATGTTAAGTCCACTCCAGTGTTTTTTACAGGTGTTAATTGTTACACATTTGATAGGCTGAGTGTTTATGTAGGAAATTGAAACACTGAGTGACATCATCATCATCCCTACATGAGTCAGGTGCATCCCAAAGGGAGGGGGCTTGGGGTATAAGTGAGCTGCTTTGGATTGAACAAAATTATAACTACCCTTGTTCGGGAAAGACTCATGCAAAATTGTATAGTCCTGTTTAGGAGTTAGATGACAAAAACCATTCCCTACCCAGCAGCCAGCACACCCCCGCACAGGCCATACAAGAGAGAACCCCCGAGGGAGCTACATGAAGGCTTAATAGGCAGTACAACAACGTCCTTGTTTCAGCATACTTTGTCGACAGTACAGCAGTCAAAATAATGTTTAGCTGGGCAATGAGAAGCTTCACTTGAGAAGTAGCGGGAAACATTATATTCCGACTGAGACAACAGCATCGCCGAACACAGCCAAACGGGTTTTGTGTAAGTCATTGCACAGTATATAGCAAGATGGCGAATGAGAAAGTTGAATTAGTTCTGTCTTTGATCGAACATAGCCGAATAGGACTTCCATCAATTGCTTATAAACAAACCAAAGATTTCAATATGCTTCCACACTTGCATAAGAGCTCATTAGCAATCGGCTGGGCTGCAAAATTTTAGCTGGCGTGAGTCAGCCGAGTCAAGTGTAAAGGAAAAAATAACAAATATTTAAAGGAAAACATACCTCGCAACTATGCTCTGATCTGCAAGTACACTATAAAGTTTGGATGGAAATACTGCTATTTTGCTTAAACAATGAATTTTTAACCCACAATCCAGATAGATGAGTCAGTTCACATTTCTTGCAGATTGTGCAACCGAGTCACGAGTTTACCTGTTTATTATTTTTCCACTCCCCCGTCACACAACAAGGGACCTTAAGCAAAGACGTTTTTGAGCGACGCACGTCAACCGGAAGTGAGGCCTTCTTCCTTCTTATATCAGGGGCACCCAACGGCAATTTTCGGGAAAATATCTGTTCGGAAGACGATTTCAGATCTAGAATTTTCGGAGCATTTGTTGTAAAATTTCTTGCTTGCCTGCCTCTCCTAGGATTTTCGAACATCTACAAAATGGTATAATTACCCATTTTTAACGTATTTTGACCCCAAAAAAGGCCACCTAGAATTTTCGGGAGCCTTTTCCTGGCTGAAATTTTCGAGAAGGTAAGTTTTTATCCCTATAATTTTCGGATCACTAGACTTTCAGCTAGGAAATCCGAACAGATGAAAAGTTTTTAGGGGATAAAAATATGCCTATATCTACCGTTTGAATACTAAAATACGTTCAACAATGCTATGTTAAGTGGTTTTGAACTATATCCTCGTTGGGTGCTCCTGTTATATGCCTTGACGCTAACAAACTTGTATTGCTGAGTTTCTGTTGTCTTTTAAAGACGATTTACCCGAGAGTTTCAACCAAACCGCTCCCCAATGATGCAAAAAGTCCACTTCCGGTTGACGTCCGTCGCTCAAAAACGCTGTTGCTTAAGCTCCCTAATTGCTCCGGAACGCAAGCAACACCACAGGAGGCCCACACAATGTGTTTGTGTAGCCGATTGTTATTTTATAGTAAATGTACTGGATTTACCGTTTGCTTCATTATTCTTCGTTTTCACTGTCACGCAATAAACACGGCACAAAAAAATACATTTGAAACCGTCCAGTGGAAGAAGCCAAGAAAATGAAATGTTATAAAAGACTAATATATAAACAATTTTTCCAAATCTCAGGTCTTTGTGGCCCACAGTTTCTGAGTTAGTTGCCGAAACATTTCACGCACCTTTGTAGAGCTTTGTATGGAGACGCCATATTGGTGGACAGAAACTGTCCACCAATATGGCCGCCGGAAATCAACAAAAACATCTGGAGTTCACTTTTTCCATAAAAGCTCCTCCTTTTCACTCGAGAACTAGCATACTTGCGCATAAACATATCTTCTAAAACTTGAAATGGTTAAACTGCTGAAAATCAAGCAGAGAGACTTTTTTCAAGGAGATAGCATTCCTATTTATAGTATTTTAGTGTCACGCACTGTGAAAACTCCGAAGTTCAAACTGCTGTATTTTCGAAATGAAACATGCTTCGGGGCTGGAAACTTGTACAAAGATTTATTTCCTATTAATCTTCAACCTAGTGTGAATAAGAGTTCGTAAAACCTCGCTTTTTTGACTTTGCAATCTGATGACGTCACCGTGAAAACCATCATATTGATATATCGCTAACTATGTATATAAATCAATGATAAATAAACGTTGAATTACCTTACTTTTGGTGTATAGTCGTCCTTTTGCCTCAAAAGCGGTTTTTTGAGCGATTTTGAATGAATTTCAGTGGAATTTGAGTTCCCCGTTGACTGTTATGGAACAGTCAACGGCGAACTCAAATTCATTCAAAATCGCTCAAAAAACCGCTTTAAGGCAAAAGGACGACTATACACCACAGGCAAGGTAATTCAACGTTTATTTATCATTGATTTATATACATAGTTAGCGGTATATCGCTATAGGTGAAGCAAACGGTAAATCCAGTACTATGAAATAACAATCGCCGGCTACACCAACAGATTGTGTGGGTACCCTGTGGCAACACAATTAACAAAGGGTGGTGGTTTGCAAAGTTTTTTCTTTCAAAAAGAATTTTTCGATGTCAATTACTGAACAGTTTTCCTGCAGCTCAATTTGGATTTTACTATCTTTTTGAGTCGAGTTATGATCTTAAGCGACTTTAGTAAAGTTTCTCTCAGTTTCAAGGCAAAAACGTAATCGTGAGGTACTGGTTTGAGCGCGCGCTACAATAATAAAAATTTGGTTAACTTCCGCATTAACAATGTTCGCCTTGACAATGTTGTAAAAAACAGTTGGTTCATGCTTCAGCTGTGCGTATGTCGAGATATTGAGCACTTGGGAAGTTTGGAGAGCACGAAAGAGGCTTAAGAGTTGCGCTTCGAGCAACTCTTTAAGCCTCTTTCGTGCTCTCCAAACTTCCCAAGTGCCAAGTGCTCAATATCCCACACAGGCGTAGCCTGCGAAAACATCCGTTTCTCCTCGCTCTTCGTCGCTGGGGACATTTCGAGCGGAGGAACCTTGAGCCTTGAACCTTGAACGTGGCCGTCATCAATACACTTTTCATTCTACAGGTAAGACCCACTACATCAAATCTCATATCACTTGTGAAACTTTTAACGTTATCTATTTGATACAATGTCGCCTGTGTAATCTACAATATATTGGAGAAACTAAACGACGCCTCAAAGACCGTTTTAATGAACACAGACGACCAATACTCAACCCTACTGGAAATTACATCCATACTGCAGTTTCAGAACACTTTCTACACTTTCCGACAATCATATGCTTTTGATTCACTCTTTATTGAAAAACTTAAAAATGGGCGTGATTCTTTCAGGAAAGCACGTGAAGCCCACCTTATCCATAAAGCTAAGACAATTGAGCCTCTGGGCACTGAATAAACGTGATGAACTGTAACTATAAATAGAATACCTTCTTATTTTTTTGTTATCTTGTAATTTAAGTAGCCACACCATACCACGTCATATTATGTAACTTCCGGTCATTATTTTACTTCATACAGTCGACTCCCGATAACTCGAACCTTAAGGGAAATCGAAGAAAGTTCGAGTTATCGGGAGCTCGAAGAAAATAGCCGAGAGTAAGGTAAAAAACAGTTTTTACTGCACCGTGAACATTTTAATCACATTTAATTGTAGAAATGTCAAGTGAAAATTAAAAGATACTTCTAGATTATAAATCAGAACGTAACGTGACAAAACATAGCCTAAATAGGGCATGCGTTTTACTGTTTTGAGAAGTAAAGCTGCTTCACGTTAACCTGTGACAATCAACATCAGCCTCCATTAGTAACCTATACTCCGACAACACGTTATAGGAAATCCAAAATTCACTGTTTCGGACGCCAGTAGACGACTTTTTTCCCCGTCTTTTTAAGGGCTCAAAACATGGTTCGAGTTATCGAGGGTAAAATTTTATAGAAAATGACCTGAGGGGAAACGAAAATTGGTTCGAGTTAGCGGGAGTTCGAGTTATCGGGGGTTCGAGTTACCGAGGGTAAAATTACAGTGAAAGTATGACGGAAATCCAGCGGAAATCGATTTTGGTTCGAGTTAGCGCGAGGTTCGAGTTAGGGAGGGTTCGAGTTATCGGGAGTCGACTATATAATTGTATATATTTCTGTAAATTCGTGATATCTCAATAAACCTGATGAAGGCTGGTATTGGCTAGTGGAAATATCGAAACTTAACTCTATTTCACGTTGTTTGATCAGTCCCTGCAAAAGTCTTCTTGACTGTAACGTTTTCAATTTGATCTATTTTGACTGATCACGATCTTTTTGGATCCTACGTTGAGCAAGATTGATCGTACACGGTTTTTGCAGTGTTTTTTTTTTTTACCTTAACTAAACATTCTATGATCAAAAACGTGATCAAAATAAAAAGGGACATTATTAGGGACCTTACGATCCGACAACTGCGACACCAAAGAAAACGTCATCGCTGAAAAATAGACTTAGCGTCCCTTGAAACTTTTTTGCCCTTATAAAGCCACCCAGCCGCTTGAAAGGTAGATTGCAAAACAGTCCGTATTTTTGCGTATTCACTGAGTAAGCGGGAGCAGTCAAACAAAAGGTCTGGAACGAGGCTGAAAGCGTTTTTTGAGAAAAAAACCGACTGTTTTGCAGTCTACTTGAAAGGAGGGAAGTTAGGTTGGAATTGAAGAGAGAGGACTGCGTCCGGCTTCAGAAAGAGATAGTAAAATTTATCGCCT